TCTCTCTCTCTCTCTCTCTCTCTCTCTCTCTCTGTCTGTCCTTTCTCCTTCTGATAAACGCGATGATAATCTTATAACGTTTGAACAGCCAAAGAATAGTCGGAAGAGAAAAATCGTCAAAATACGAGATAGAAATGTTTTCGAGATGTTTTTCATTCTAATACTCGCATGAATATCGACCGATTCAAGTTCCAGCGCAGTTACGAATACGCTTTACTGTTTCAGACTTCGGTATAACGACAGGTCGGCAGGAGGGGCAGTATCCGTGTGCCTTTGTTTTCAACAGCAACGAGACCCGGAACGGTACATTCGCGTCGCCAAATTATCCCGGACTATACCCTCGTAGCACGGAGTGCTACTACTTCTTCAATGGTCAATCCAACGAGCGGGTTCACCTTCATTTCCACTTCTTCGACGTCGAGGGAGTGTTACCGTAAGTTCAATGAACGAGCAAATCCCTTTCAGATTCCTTCCATGAGGATTATAGCGCAATACAGCCAGGTGGTCTGGCCAAATTTAAATAGTGACATTGAAAAAATCAAAGTTACGGGTATTTTCCTTGTCGGCGATCAAACGTCGTGCTACAGAACAACAACAGCGTGCTACAGAAATATAACAATGAAAAATGAAAATTAATTAACGCGAATGATAATGCGATATTTGCATTTGTGGGAAAAGAAGATAAAAGGGGATAATGACGATTACTCGCTCGGCCGCGAAAATATCATGGTTAATATCTAATGGTTCGTTTCACATATCTCAATAACGAATCGGAATCCATTGCCTGAGATATTTTTAACTGTGCGAAAGAATCGCGTAACGCGTTTGTATACGATAGCAGATTTAACGATATCGGGAGCTCGGTCTATCTGTCGTCTATCGTCTAAAACTTGATAGACGCAACACGACCATCTTTAAGCAAATTTGGAATCTTTCCGCGAGGGCAAATCGATAATCGTCCAATTCTGGACCCTTGCGAGAGTTGGGATGGCTCGTTATATCAAACTGCATCAAAGTTCTCAGCTACTTATTGAAACACGAAGGAAGCCCTGATGAAGGTTCGACGGCCAATAGTCGAGAAACAGAGGCAATTACGTGTCAACCGCGCCGCATGCTGTTATTAACGAGCGTATTACCCATTATCCGATCTAACAAGAAATATAACTTTTTAGAAAATAATATAACGACGTCGCGCAAGGCCCGAACACATCGAAGGTGGAAAGGTGGCGGTACGGTCGGATGTACGGAAAGGGACGAGGGGGGGGGGGGGGAGACGACAGCTGCTCGCGCACGCGATAGATAAAGAGAAACAGTGCGGGAAAGGGGCTAGGGTTGAGAAACGAGCGATGGCGAGAGGGAAACGGAGGGAAACGGAGGGAGGGATCGGTGTGCCGGGGGTCATACGATATGCTGCTCCTAATTGGGTCGGTATTAAATCGCAGGACCATCAATATTCCGGCGACAACGTAACGCTACGTTCATTACCGGAAGCCGCTAATTAATCATGTTTCGCCAATTTCTGTCGAATTTTATAACAACGCGGCATGCGCTCGTTTGTCGCACACGGCCGGGGGCGCCAGGGCCGGGGGTGCCGCACACAACGCGTGGCATCGCGACGAAGGAACACCAACAGAATTCGTTGGCCCATGTCGTTGGCCGTTGGCCGGTCGATCGGCAGGTCGGTTGGTGACGCGACTCGTTTTATAAATTGATAATTCGGCGTCGGCCAGCATTCGCCGTGCGATGACTCACCGCGCTCTATTTATCGCGGCCACATCGGCTGCCTCTCGTCGGTGTCGATCGTGGCAAGATTTTCCCCTGGCGCTACTTCGGAAAACGGTAATCGTAAATATCGCCAGATATCTCGCGCTCCACGAAACGAGAGTTCGATTGAACCAAGTGCGCCCTCGGTGCTTTACTCGGTGCAGATGCATCTCGCCCCGTGCCGAGATGCGGCACGACCGAGACGAGGCGCGACGCGAGCATCGGAAAAAGATGCATACTCGATCGTAAATCTGACCACCGGTAAACAGTTCTCGAGACGTTGGGTTATGCTCGCGCTCAAGAAAGCGCGCCGGGAAATGATGATCTATCACCCGAATTGCCACTTATGTCATCGGGCCAACTAGCTCGGGCTGTCTTTCTCTCTC